TATGCAAACATGGTTGACTGCAGGAAGGTTTTGGTTTGTCAGTTTGAAGCTCCATTTCTAAGCAACTGGCTGACCTGAGAGAAACTCCCTCATTTGCCACAGCAGTTTAAAGACTCTGGACATTCTGTCTTTTTGCACATCCACACTGTCGACTTTTGCTATGCATATGTATCAAACGTGGATTGAAATAAGCTGTAGGTAGAATATAACCTGACTGCAATCTTCATAGCATTTCACCATCTTTATCTTACATTCCTTCGTGTAGTCTTTGCCTTTCAGCACCTCCTGTTTTTGTCATAAACATGAACACAAACAACCTCTTCAGTCTTGTTCCACTTACCTATTCTTTTCCAGTTCATTGTGTGCTGACCTGTTGAAATGATAAATATATAAACACAACCGTCACACGTCTTCATAATGCAAAATACAACATATTATACAATCTATATAACCAAATCTACTAGACAAATGAGCAAATGCAGCACCACAATACAGTGAATGTGATGTTAAGAATAAATGTGTATTTCATTTAAAGATCCTTCTTGAGGCAGTAACCTACCTATTGTGATTATTGTCCAATTTCCTGTTCTTGAATTTACGCTGTTTCTGTTGATGTGCAATCTGGGTTGAAGGATATGTTGAAGCATACCCGTGCTCACACTCTGTTGATAAAAAAAAAAAGAAAAAGATAAAGGTGATTAAATGCAAAGTACATTTTGTACAAATGTGCTACAAACAACAATGTGGTTAGATTCACCTGATGGATGTGACCTTAGCTGGCCTGAATTGAAACTTACATCTCAATATGTGGCATTAGTAAAATTAAACTAAAACTTAGTGTAATGTGCAGACAATCCCTTTTAGAAAATGTTTTCTTGCATTTTTTTGTTTTGTGATTAACATTTAGGATATTTTTCTTTGGAGAGTTAGACCATCTATACTTAAACAAAAAATCTTCTAAATAACTCCCAAGTGAGAATACATAGTACATTTCTGTCACTGCTCTGTAGCTGCCTGTTCTTCCACCTGCTTTTAATTCGCCTACAGTTCCCATGAACCCTCCTTCCCAGTAACATGCGACGTCACACCCAAGGCTGCGTGTGATTGGCTGTCAGCAGTGACTCGAGCGCTGGGAACATGTGTCCCGACCAATGAGAACTTTACAATTTGTTCCATGTGGAAACCATGTGAACAACACATACAAGGAAGCAGCGACTGGCCGAGAAAACCATAGTTGGACTTCGAATTAGATATTTTTAGACGAAATAAAAACCCAAATCGCGGTTTCGGTTAGCAAGCGGGACGGAAAATGCGGCATTTCTTAACGGCTGTGATATTTTCAGGAAGTAATGTGGGAACGAGCTGCGATAAACCGAGATAAAAGATTAAATTGGGAGCCTCAAATAGCATAAACGTCTTTATGTTTGAACCTAAATGTGCACATATCGATTGAACATGATGGGGATGTTGAATCGTGCATGTTCAGTTAAATCTCCTATAGTCTGCAAAAAAAAAGGAAAGCATTTTTAACGGGAGCGGATAGCTGCAGGCTATTGTTGCAATAAAAACCCGTCTCTCGCGATGCAACTGCACCCCGACTTCCCATTTAAAGCAACATTTCGAGTTCTTTGCAAGCGATTTAAATGTGTCAGCGTTAGCTCGAGCAGTTTTCCAGTAGCAGGTGAAACACCATCGGCTGCTGTCGGGCCAGTTCATCTGTCCGCTGCGCGTCTTTTGTCGCCTTCGCCTCTATTGTTGTCTGCTCGGCGCATTACGTGTTAATATCCCCTACAGCCCGTGTTTACTTACTTCCATTGTTCTTCTCAATATTTTCAATGTAATTGGCCGCATCGAGCAGCACTTGCACGTTCTTCATAAAAGTGCCGATTTGGTCCATTGCGGAACATTTGGAGTATAAAACGTCGCTGAAAGAATAGTCGGACATCTCTCCGAAATCCTGCTGGTCCATGGACGCATCAGACTCCGACAGGACCTCTTCGGGTTTCAGCTCGCTGTGCTGTCGCATGTACTTTACCATTTTTTTTCTTTTCTTTTTTTGTTGTTGTTGTTGTTTACTTTTATTTGGAGAGGGTCTTTTTTTTTTGACAAATAAAGCAGCGCTGAAAAATTGCTCTCCTTGTCCCGTCTGTGCACTGAGCGGATGACTGAAATGAACTAGGCTGGATGGAATTGCAGTCCTTAGCCTCAGCCACTTGCCCTACTTGGTGGATAATCCCTCCCACTAACGCATGCACATTGCATTCATTGTCAACTGTGCCATAATAAATCCTCATTATCAATACTGCAGGAGAGTAACAAATAACACACTTCTGGCCGGTGACATTCAGGAATAATGCCTGCTTTCATTTGCAATAAAGCTGCTTTATTTCACTTGACGTAAATTAAATAATTGTGACTAATTCCCTTGCCTTTCAAGTGCACGCTGCTGTTTCTAAATGCATGTGAGTAGGCTTTAAAAGTGGAATAAATAAAAAAAAACATTTAAGATCACATGGTAGCAGACAGTATCAGGTCTGATCAATAGTTCAACCTGGATCTCGGGCTGCTGCTGCCAGGTTTGGTTATAAATATGTAATCACTTGGGGCTTTTGTGTCGCTAAAGGGCCCCACATGGTAATACTTTAATGTTGGAAGCGTATATTATTCCCATGCTTTTATTTATCATCTGTAATTAACATCTGCTTATGTTTGTGCACAAGTTGGCAGAACAGCTCAGAGAGATGCTCCTTCTCATCATTTCCACAGAAGCATAAATATGCATATGTGAGATTTGAAAGCCCCTTTAATGCACAACAAAATGCTGCACTCAGGTGTCCGACATGGTCATTTGAGGTGATTTGCTTGCTCCCCCGCTGTATCCCAAATTAAGGAAGGAGTGGGGGTGGAGACTCCCCTGGGTGTTAATCCAATAGATTCATGTGATTTTAGTGGCAGTTTGTCATTATTTGCATTAATAATCCCATTGTTGTCCCCCAAGCTCTGTCTTCTTTGAAATCTCTCGTCATCACCTCGGCCCCCTCTGGGTGTGCTTTCCCTCCTCTAAAACAATATAAACTCAAACATTGAGAACCAGAAAGTAATAAACTAGTGAAATTATGTTTAATTTCAGGATGTGCACAACCCATCCCTTAGGGGGTGTTTCATTTAAGTGGACACCAGAATTTTCCATGGTACTGAACATGACCTTGCTTTACCAGCTTTTAAAGTCTGCAAAAAAAAAAAAACACCCAAAAAACTAACCTTGAAATTAAATCTTTTTCAAGCTTGATGGTCCACTTCTGTTGTCCCTTTTGAGAGATTAAGAAGTCATTTTCCCCCCACACTGCGAGGGATGGAGGAGAACAGAGGGGAAAGGGACTGCCTTTACGAGGCCAGCCATGCGTGCAGGGTTGTGTTGTGCCTCTGAGACAATGGGTGCAGATGGCTGGCCCGCTGCAGATGTGGCCAGGCCTGTAACGGACGCCTGTGAGAGAGTACACCCTCCCATGGAGTCTATTTCAGCCGCCTGGCGAGGCCTGACACATGCAGACAGCCCTGATCCGGACTCTGAGAAAGAAATGCACAATAAAGTGGCACAAATTCTTAAAAATACAAGTCTATTTGGAAACACAGACGTTGTATGCTTCTCTCCCTGCATGCATTTTCAGGTTATTTAGGGCTTTTCCTACTGGAGCATCTTCCACATATCAAACAGCATCATTAATGTAAACTCAGACATCAACTGCTGCTACCCATGTGCTCAAAAGGACGCATAAAGGGAGCCAGACGTGCACGGAGAGTTCAGTGGGGGGATGGAAACTGACAGCATTTCACCGGGAAAAGGCTCATCTGTGCTGTGAGGCTCGTGTGCAGAACTGAGTGACTGTGCATGCTGCACACTGATAGCGGCAGCGTGGAAAGCTGACCCGCTGTAGGTTGGTGTAGAATGTGACCCCAACTGGAGTAATCTGAAAAGCCTGAGGATTACACCAGTGGCTCGGCTGTCACAGAGGAGGCAAAGTCACACGGTGCCGGAGTGTGTATGAGTTTTTTAAAGGAATGTGCCCAACATCCCGCTCTGGTGTCACACATCAGGGGGTGTAAGACATTTTAGGCACTGGTGAAAGAGAAAATAAATCTTTTTCTTTCTTTTCTTTTTTTTTTATCTAGGTCTATCTGTTTAGCTATCTGTGTATTTATCTATCTCTGCATCCAGCATTGCACATACTGGTTCAGATGATGCTCTGAGACATGCATTGTGCAGCAAAGTCTCCTGTTGTTTTAAACAATAGCTGCCCTTTGGCCTGAGGTCACAGCCGGACACTCCAGACGTGTGTCACCTGCCCTGTCCTCTTCTTATCACCATCAGGCCATGGAGGAGCTCAGCGCTAAGCTTTGCCATTATTCATTCTTAATAACTGCCAATCGTTTTCATTAACGTAATGCTTATAAGCAAGCCGTGGTTTAAAATGGCTTTCTTTTTCTTCTTAATTTAGTCATTTTTATGTACAATTAAATGCACCACCTTCTTTTTTTTTTTTTTAACTCACCCTCCTCTCCATATGCCACCTCACAGGCGAGGTGTGTGTGTGTGGTTTGGGGGTGGTGTAGGTACAGATCCTGTCACTCCCCCAACAGGAACACCTGTTGGAGACACCAAATCCCCTCTTTGTCTCCGCAGCCCCCTCTCAGTGAATTTCCATGACAACGCCCATTCATATCATGGCTGAAGACTGATTATACAGCTTCGCACGGTCAATTATCAGTGAACAGAGTGCATTGTTTTAGGGGGACGCTGCGTTTTTTTTTTATTCCAAAAAAAACGGAGGGTGTGCAAGGAGTTTTCAAGAAAGCTTTTTTTCATACTGGGGGTGTTGTTTTGTCTGGGAGGAATGGATGTAATTAGCTGGAGAGTGGCCTGTGAAATAAATGCATTTAACATTTTCTTCCCTCACGTATGAAATATCTTTCAGCTAACAAGCAAGACGGCAACAGAGCAGTTACGGAAACATATCCCAGCTTTTATTACGTCAGGTAGAAGGCAGTTTTAAAGGGCTGACTTTGAAGCAAGGTGACAGTAATGTAAAGCACCATGGGGGGAAAAAAAATTAAAAATTAAAAAAATCTAGGCGATACAAATAGCAATGTAAACAACAGAGGAAAACACAAGCACTAGGCACACAAATTACATAACCTGTAAACACAAAGGCGCTGTGCATGTTCAGTAAATAAGTCGGGTATAAAACATTATGATAAAAGACGTGTTAAAATGTCGTTATTAGATTGTACTGTCACATTTCTATCGTTTAACATTTGGTTTAGGCGTAACAAAAGAAGCTTCACAAAAACTATTTACAAAGGCAAAGAGTTCACTCCCTTTGGGCTGAAACAAATCATTCACATTGTTGACTGGGATGTAAATATATGGTCCTATAATAAACTTTATATCTAACAGTGGCTACAAAGAAAAGCTTTCCACAGCATATTGCCATCGAACCGACTATCGGAACAAAATTAGTCAAAAAAAAACAAAACAGCCATTCGACTTTCTTTGATTCAGACCTGGCACTTTCATTGTCAACGTCCAAAGAAGTGGTGATTATCTGTCAATTCTGTTATAAAAAAAACAACTCAAAAATCAAACTTTGTCACTCATAAACAATATCCAACAACTTAGCTGAGCTCTCTCTGTTAGTCACAGTCGATTCCTTGTCACAAGTACAATAAAGCAGCAACCATGGGAACAGCATCGCATACAACATGAATTATTACTGTATTATCCATCACAGCATGTTTAGTGTAAGAGTTAGTATGTAAATAAGTAAGAACTATCAAATCATTTATGTAATAACTATCAAACACTAGATTGTAATACCTATAATATAAACCAACATATATTATTACAAGATAACTATGATTATATTCAGATACAAATCGTACTTCTTATAAGGCTAAACATCTTATAATCTTAATAATCTCCAGCCACTGTTACACTACTGGTATGACTTAAATGTTTAAAATTGTTAAACATATTTCTTAGCTGTCAGAATACATTCAACGATGTGCAAAAAGAAAAAAAAACTAACCGGTCCAATCTGATGTATTCTCGAGCTTTAAATCCTTGTTTCACCTATTTTTAAACCCCAATAAAAATATGGGTAACAACCACTAAAAATGCAGCTTTGCATTCACTTTTGATTTGATTTCACTTTGCTGAGCCCTCAGTGATCAATCACCAATCCTCAAAGGAAAAGGAAAAAAAAACAAAAAAAACTTCCATATTACCATCTGCTGGCACATCTTGGAAAAACGCTCACATAGAATAATAGCTGTGAATGAGGGGAATTTGCTGGATGTGCAACAACAACACTGTTCCTGGGAGACTCTCTGATTAAATGGTTCAGTCATCTCTCTCTTATTTCACTTCCCTTCAACAAACTGAAAATTAGGAAGGCAATTCAAATGTTTCTTTTTCTTGCAAAAACACTTATTGCTTTTGGAGTTAAACACTCTCACGCTTCCGTCTTTTCTTTCTCCTCCTTCTTTTTCTTGCTCTTTTTCAAGAACGATGGCGTACGGAACTTCTTTTTCTTCTTCTTGGGGGACTTGGTTTGGCTCTCCGGGGTCTGAGCCTCCCCCGTCTTCTCCTTCGTTGTTATGGAGATTTCCACCGTTTCTGAAGTGCTCAGGCTCAGCTTGGATACCTCGATGCTCAGATCCTCCTCCATCTCTGCCAAGTGGTCTTTCCCGTTGGGTATTGTGTCTGTCAACAGATGAAACCAAGTCAGCGAGGAGGGATGCGCATGAGGAGAGGCTGCGATAATGACTCAAACTATCAATTTAATCTGAGATATTTTCTGGGCCTTTTACACAAATTGAAATACCCGCTCATTAGCTGATTACCTTGTTTAGCCGGGGTCATTATGGGAGAGAGGGAGAGGGAGATGGTGGAGCCATCAAATGTGGTCATCTCATCTGCATCAGTGGCGTCGTCGTCTTCTGTAATAAGATTAAAGTCACAGAGGTCGGTCATGCGTCAAAGCTGCACGAGAGGGAGGCAACAAGTGTTTACAGCCATATTAGCAGCTACGTGAGGCGCTGCTTTGGTAAAGTGGTGCTTTGAGCTAAATGCTGGCATCACGAGGACGTTATATCGACAGCAGATAAAATGTTCAGCATCTCATTCAGCATGTTAACATGTCCTAATGCCAACAGAATTAGTTTTGCAGGCATTTCATCGTAAAACAAATTAAAATCTTGACCTGAGGATGGCGCTCCATAAACAGATAACACAGGTTCAAATGTCTCAAGAGGGCTCATGTCTGCATCAAATCTCAAACGAATCCATTATTTACAGCAAACATTTTGACCTGTCACAGCAGGAAGGCACAGGTGTATTAAAAAAGGCTGCATCATTTTGTGCTCGTAGCTTCCTGGGACACTTATCGAAGCTGAACATCTTTAATATACCTCCGCTTTCCCCATTGTGACAAGTGAAGCTACACAATAGGATCTATTGTTGCAGAGGCGTTTCATGCACAAATAGAAAAGGGTCAGGAGATCGCCACATCATTAGGATTCCTCCTCTGGGCGTCGTGGAAATCTGTGCTAATTTTCATGTCACTCTGTTTAATAGTTGCGGTGATGTTTCAGTCCGTACCGAGTCATCCCTACATCCACGCCCTGAGCACAGTAAATACAATAAAAAAACACTTAACGCCGGGCCGCTTTAACAGCTTTGTTACACTTCATTAATCTCGATTATCTGACATGTTCCAAGGCCGACGCACGATTGTAATGGTGAAAAATAAAGGTGCTACTCTGATACGCAGTCACAGAAATGCTTCCCTCCTGCAGACACGTTTTTTCCCCCTTGTCTCCAGTCATAACCAGGACATGAGGAGTTTGACAAGACTGATGTCTTTGCAGCTCATCTCTCACCATCCCTGTGAGCTGACTTCACAGCTCAGAGGAAGAGAGAAACCGTGGGTTGACAGTTTTGTCCTGATGGCATTTTTTGCAGGAAATTTCTTCGTTTCTGTTAATGTAGTTCCAACATTTCCTCCAGGCAAGAACCAAGGACTCTGGCTGGACTAATTAACAGCCTGGACCGAAGGCTAATGACACAGTTTTTGTGTGGCAACAATACGAAAAAAAGACTCAGTTTGACTAATGTATGAGGGATAACGATGAGTACCTTCTTGACCTTGCTGCTTTTTTTCCACCATATCTTTGTATTCCTCCAGCTCCTTCTCCGTGAGTTCATTGAAGGGGTTGGGGGGAAGAGAGCGGGTCTGCTCCTCATCCTCGATGATGAAAGCCTAATAGAGGAAAGAGCATAAACAAATGTTAGAGCAATGCGGTGTAATTGCTCAAATGGAAGACTGATTATTGTTTATGTGTGTCTGTTTACGGCTTCTTTCCGTCCAACGACAGTAGTAATTTCTCAAAATCCTGCGTGCATTTCTCAGAACTGCAGCTCATTTTCTCACGGAGGCATTTGCATTTCTGGTTGGCTTCAGGAATCAAATGTATGCACCGCATTCGCCTCTGAAATCCAAATCAACTAGACTGGTTCCAGAGTTAGCGGGCAGCTGTTTCAAACAACAGAATGTTTTAATTTGTTGTCGACCAAGTTTTAATTAAAAATGACAACGAGTTCGTTAGTATTTTAGTGTCTTATTCATACTAGCTGAAACTTCTTTTCAAATGAGGACCACATTTATACAGGTCATCTGTCTTTTCAATATGAACCAACATTTTGAATGGATGTACAGTTTTGTTTTTAATGTTACTGCACACTGAAGAAAAACACAGCTAACGGCACTTTTTCCTCCAATGCTATATTCTGACATTGAAAAATAAATATAAGCAAACATCCTCATTGATACGAGTCTCTGTTTTGTCTTGAAGCAAAAAAGAAAAAAAGTGATTCCTTTTCATCCAGCAGCCTTGTTTTAAGACTAAAAAGATGTGTCACTTACTGTCAGTTGCAATTAAAGTTTTTCAGTTTTTGCCACAAGGTGAATGCTTTGATTGAGTGACGGCCTCGTTCCAGACAATGCGTTGCCGTGGTGATGGCTCCTCATATTTTTAAAACTGCGGCAGTGTTTCGGACACAGTATTTAAGCGAATGAGATAAACCGCGAAACACGCGTGGCGGATCATGAGGTGGTACTGCGACACTCTTGAGGAATGACACTCACCGGTCCTGGTATGGTGTCCACAACGATGCCTGCTAGTAACTGAGACTTTGGTCCTGGAGTCATCTGGTCGCCTCTGTGCTGTTCTTTTATCTGAACAAATGCATTGAACAGAAAAAAACAATAAGCCAAGAATTTGTAGCATTACAGTCCATATTTTAACACACCTGTCTACTGAGACGCAGTGAGAGAAACACTGAACAAACGACAGAATAGCAGATTTCTGTATGGAACACAGTTACCAGTAGACCTGCAATGGTTAATTTATTAATAGTTTAGTGAAATAAAATTAACTGCCAGTGTTAATTTCTTAATTTTTTTGCCATTTCATTGATAAACATCCGCCAGTTCCAGCCTCCAAAGTGTGAAGATTTAAAGCTTTTCTTTCTCATATATCTCAGTCAACTGAATATTTGGGATGTTTGGATTATTAGTAATAACATCTTGGCATAATGTGCACTTTCCTTGCTTCCTATTATTGTCTCGACAAGAAAAAAAAAGACAAATAAGTGGGAAAATAATCAGTAGAATAATCAGTAATGAAGACAATTATTAGTTGCGGCCCGACGGGTCAGAACATATTGGTTGCTGTGTGGTATAATACCGACAGTGGAGCGGCTGGGTTGTGATATTATATGTCTGATGAGATAAAAGTCAAGCTGGATAGAGAAAATAAAGAGTCTTTTTTGACCAGGCTTGTAACATGTCATGTTGTGGGAAAAAGTGCTGCTTTCTCAACTGACCCGATTCCTCTTATCCAACACCTCAGTGGGATCAGTGTTGAGTGGAACAAACTGGTTGGGGTCTTCGATCCTTATCGGGGTGCCGACGCTGTTCCCCGGCTCCGAGGACTTCATCCACTGAGAGAATTAAAAAGACAGATAGCAACAAAAAAATTTAAACCATGTGCATTTTTTAAACCTGCCACAAGGGGGCAGACTAATACAGAGGAACGGCAGCTCCCGAGTTCAGTGGAGAAAAGCCAAAGCAGAGAGAGAGAGAGAGAATCAGCTCATGCAATTCCTAGTTACACTTTGACATGAAAACCAGCGCACCATGGTTTTGGTCCTGGGGCTGACGTCCCCGCTGGGTGACTGTTCAGGAACATTGACCCTCAAGTAGCTGTTGGGCGAGGTGAGCCACCGGGTCCTTTCCCTCTGCTGTTTCTGCACCATAAACTTGAAGGGGCTGCGCAGACCCAGCTCAGTGTCCTCCGGTGGCACAGCTGACACCGTGGCAGGGATTTCCACGTCATTCTTAGAGCGGGGTTTTTCACGGACAATGGGGTTCCTGTAAGAGTAGCCCGTCCTGTATCCCTGGCAGGTCACACGGAGAAGAAACGTTATCAGAACATCCTCACCGAACAGTACTCCTCTGTGAGATTCCTCGCACAATGAATTAAAGAAGAAATATTAACTATAAAAGAGCCAGAATTCAAACAACTCACAGGCCACCCAAGATGCACTTGCACAATGCTTTTAAATATTTAAACAACACAGTATATACAAACAGCATTTTTGCAGATGTGCCCAGTTTCAGAGGGAAAAGATAAAACTATGATTTGAAGGAGTAGGGGTGTGTTGTGTGTTGTTAAGAATACATCAAAGGCCGGGAGAGACAGCTACTGATGGGAACTTGCAGTATGTGCAAAGTGTAGTCTAAAGCCGGCAGTACAACACTAAAAAAAATCAAAACTGGCGTTTCTGCACAGGCGGTATGACAAGTTTGCCACCACAAAAAGAAGCTCTGAGTCGGGCTTTGAGCACCACAGTGTGAGCAAGATATTGTTTTTTTTTTAGAGATTTGCTCAGTGAAACCTAAAGCACAGTTTCCAAATGGTTTAAATGTCACTGAAACACTGCAAATATATGACATACAGAAAAAAAACACACCAGTTGAAGGATTTCTGCACAGACCTTTAGTTTATTACTGTGACTACTGGTTGCATTTACCGTGTAAAAGATTTACTATAATGAATGGATAGATGGAGACACTTATGAAATGCCTCATTCACACACCTTCTCTGTTTCTTCTTCCCATCTGCTTGTTCGGTTTGGAGAAGCAACAAACCCTGTCCTTTGATCATTTTTGTGGCTTTTAAACTCTCCGAGCCGAGCTCCAAATCAACCTCCTCCCCCTACTGTGTTATTAGCTGTGACCTTTATTACAGCCGGGGCCTCTTGTTGTCTTTGTTTTGGTATCTTTTCCGACGTCGCCACAACTATCAAACTCCACCTTCTGTCACGGAAGGTCAAACCTCCACTTACAGCGACTCTCGTACTGGCATTTGCCCCCCCCCGTGGCATACTCGACAGTCTTGGAGAAAATGCCAAATCCTATTTCCAAATTGAGCGCGCGAGGGTCCTTACACCACAATTACTTTGCGGTCTGTGTGGCTGTAACTGCCCACAGCGTGCCTCACCATCTGGAGGCTATGATTGAGAGGGCGGGTGAGCTAAGATCACACAGAGCTAACACAGCTGCAGCCTCCTCCAGCCGGAGTTGTTAGCGAGCAGCACACTCGAACAGACAGTCTGACATCTTCGGCGTCTGCATGAGCGTGCGAGCGTCTGGCCATTAGTGGCGCGGGGTCAGAAACGCTGCACGGAAATCTTAAGGATCTAACGAGGCCAGTGGACGAGGCTGTTAGCCACAAAAAAAAAAGAGATCGCGATCCTTTATGTGTTCTCACAACAATTACAAAAAGTATTGTGGTGAAAGAAAGTTCAAATAAAGACAACTATCATAAAACAATATGATTCAATCGTTTTCAGATTAGATTAACCAAAACGCACATGTAGTTTCTTTGTGTTCTAATCAGACACTTCCCGAGGAAGCGCCCGAGACAGGAAACTCGGAGCATCATGGGTACAAGACACGGGGCAGAGTTCACTCACCAGGTTGTCCAGCATCCTCATAAGGGACTCGAACTCGGCCTCGCCCACTTTCCACTTGACCTCATTGTCCATCACCACCCCGGCAGCGGCGACTCCCTGGGTCAGGGGTTTAAACTTCTCCCTGTCCAGCAGCACGAGGTGGTCCACGCCGCCTACGCACCTCAAAGCATTCACCTAAACAACGATTATAAAACCAGTTTGTTAACACATATTTACTTTGAGCTACAAGTCAAATTATTATTCTGTGCAAAGTCCACAAACGTATTCATCTACAGAGAGCAGCAGGTTTTCTTTTTTTAAATTTCAAACCAGTTAACTTCACAGACAATGCATTTATATATGAAGGCAGCTGTAAATGTGTCCAAAATAAAAGAAGAAACGCCGAGACACTACAGCACGATAAAAAACACACCCTAACTGCCTCTCAGACGCAAAGCAGCAAGAGTGTTTCAGAAACACTGCAGGGCTCCTCCACCTGACTGTGAACACAGATCTCTCGCACATATTTGACTTGCTCAAACATACTGTACGCTAGAATTCAGCTTTGCTTCCATTTCAGTCACGGCTTTGTTTTGCAGTCTGACTCATTTGTTAACAAACGAAATACATCTCCGAATGATGAAAAACCGTCTGGCTGACTCATGCACATAAAGCTACCTTACAAAGTGTCAAGAGTGTCTAAAGGCCACACTCAAGTTTACAAATTGCTTTGACCCGAGCGGTGCAATTACGCTTCATTACCGAGCAGAGGTAGGATCAAGAATGCAAATGGAGCTCTTTTGGTTACCTGGATTTCGCAGGCTTGCTGTGAGTGGTACACGTAGTGAAAAGCTTCTTCTACTGTTTCTCCCAAAGCCAGCAGGCCGTGATTCCTCAGGATCATCACCTGGAAAACAGACACGACGCTTCAGCTGCCCGACGGCTCGTCATGATCACTTCTATAGACCGAACAGATCCAGTTGAGCTACTGCGCATTAGCATATCCTGACACAGTAAAGTGCATTAATTAATTCATGCATACATTATTTACCAAATGCTCCCTTGTCAACTCGACATGACAGCAAAAATACTTCATAATACAAAAAAATGTACTGTTTATTGTTCTCTTCTGGTAATATGGGGATGTGAAAACTTAAAATACAAACAACTAAGATGAAAATATGAGTATTAAGAGCTGAACTGTGGGTGTCAACAAGTGACAGACCCTTCTCTTTCTCATGTATGCAAATAATTAAAGGTGTAGTTCAACTTATTCCTGCTGCAGTGGAATCATCTCTGTCAGATAAATATCAGGATGCAGCAACCAGACAACTACGCAGTAACAAAATGTGACTAATAGCACCTTTAAAGCTCTCTAAGTAAAACGTTATTTCACTTTTATTTCATTTGTGCACCAAGCGAAGAAAAAAAAAAGTAGTTTCACAGAGGGTTATGTGGCGTACTATTTATCGACCTGGAGCGGTGATATCTTGGAGTTTCCGCTGGTTGCCTGGCAATCTCACAGCGATGATAAGACCTCAGAAAGTTTATATTCGGCACAAAAATAGTCCAGCACATAGCTTTTTTTGAGAAAGCCAGATGAGCTGTTGTACACTTTATGCTGAGCCAACTGTCTTGTGGCAATAACTGCACATTTAGTTAACAGATATTGATCTTCTAAGGCTATTTCCCAAAATGCTACTATTTTGTGTTTCTAATATTCTGGTCTAAAGGGTTAAAAAATTCAGAGGCGTAATCGCAATCACAGATAAAACAGATAGATTGTGGCGCACTGTCTTTCTACATTTTCACTGTATGCTCATGTATTTATACATTTCAGTCACTAACCAACAGGTACAAATTGCACAAGTGAATACAGTATAATATAATCAGGCCGCTCCGTCCCATGTGAAAGTGACTCTTGCCACTAATGGAGTGCCTTGATTTGACAGTACCTTGGCAGTCGGGCCCAGAGCTTTCTGAAACTCCACCTTCTCCTCTTTATTATCCAGGCTGCCATGGTAACCAAAGCAGCTCACGTCTCCCAGAAGCAAAGCCTCCTGGGAAATGGGCAGGATTCCACATTTCATCGAGGACACCTGTTAGCACGGGATAACAGCAAACCGAGACTGTGACGCACCGACATCTAAATAGGGGCACATTTTTTTCGCTATCGGGCACAAATAAAACTTTACGCAGCAATGTTCATCATGTGCTGTGCATTTTACAGCCCGGCTTCAAAGGAAATGGTAAAAAAGCATTACAGGGTGTCTGCATCTAAAATAAGCAGGCGTGCGGGGGGCTCTCTTTAATTCAGCCTCCTTCCTCTGGTGCAAAATAAGCGTTTAGCAGCAGCTTTTATGCTTTAATTAAAATGGAGCTCATTTAATATTTGCCTGGAGCGTACTTACAGCTGCTGTAGCCGCGGTATGTATATGGATGATGCATCGCACATCAGGGCGCATTAAGTAAATGGCAGCGTGAGGAGCGAATCCAAAGTGGTCGATGCCCAGATCTGTAGAACCCTGGTCCACAACCTCACCAACTATGTTTACTTTCACCTGCATCCGACAGAAAGAAAGAAACAGCAGAGTTAGAGTGGTGATGGAAGCCAGCTGGCGGTCCAGATTGCTAGCAGCAGTTGTCACAGTAAAAGAGTAGCAGTTTAAAAGAATGACAAAGTTTGTACAGAAAAATGTTATATGACTAAACTTATCGGTAACTGCAGCACGACTGAAACATTACAAGAAGTTATTCACTGCACATACATATTGTGTGTATTTTTACAGCATACCAAAGAGGTTAAATATATTTAACCCAATGCGAAGTCAATTATTTTTAATATTTCGTAATTTGCGATATTAGATAGCTCACTACCTTCGTCCTCACTGACTTCTGCAGGCGTGCCACCCACATATGTGTGTACATACATGTGCAACCCACACTAGAGTTGAGTAATTCGAGGAGAACAATTTTTCTGACAGACAGGATTTGATTTGCGGCATAAGTTTCGCTGCAATATTCACCATGAAATAGATTTAAAGCATGTGATGAAGCACTACCACATAAGATACCACCAAAAAGCGTGACTGTTCCGACCCTCACATAAATTGTAAAACCATTGACAGCTTAAACCCAGGGTCAGATGTGCTGCATATGCATGTGCGCATGTCCTAAATTGAAGTCTTGCAATTTGCTAATTGCCCTGTTTAAACTTGCAATTTTAATGTGACTGTTCAGCTGTTATGCAAACATTAAAAATCTGCACCCGAGGGCTACTAGTATTCACACACTCTGCAAAGTACCTCCAAGGCAGAATTACTTCACAGCGTGCCTCCTGTATACATTTCAACTTATATTGAATGTCTGTAAATTATACAGATTTTCCCCCCATTTAAATTGCTTACGGACATACGGATTAAAATTGTATGGGTGATAAAAAAAAATCTACATATTTGTTGTAAAAGTTCAATCAGGTATTCTGCCAACAGCACAATGTGTTGTGCTATGAATTCCTAACGCATAACTTCAGATTTTCCATGGATTTTTTTTATTACATGATACAGGTGAATATCCAAAAGTATGTAGTCTGTATTTTATGAACAATTATCTAGCTATAAAGTCATCTTAAATAACCAGCCAATCTAATATATTCTATATTCACTTGACTCCACTGGTTTACATTTCAGGGCTGCTTGCATTAAATAAAGCAAAGCCAATTGGGATCCAAGCACTTGACAATTTGTCCTTCACTTCTTCGGTAGGACATTCGCTCCACTCCATGAATACTCGCATCAGAAAAGGGAAAGGTTTTAATTACATTGAGTAATTTACCCTAGAAACTAATGATTTCCGAGTACTGCAGCTTATACTATTAGATACATTAGAAGCCTGTCTGTCTGAAACAGGTCTAATGTATGTTTAACACACACACACCTCTTTGCCATCAGGTGTAGCTGACAACAATCCACTGTCACCTACAGATGCCTCAAAACAAGGCACAGAACCGTCGTCCTACACTTACACAACCTGACTAATGTTCACATTGTAGGTTACTCATTCAGCACTAATTGTGATTTCACCCAAAACACTGAAATTGATTTACATTTCCCAACACGTAAAGTACAACTCCGTGACAATGTGTTCTTATTGGTGAACACACACAGCTATTGTGCTTACCAAATTTGCTCCCGTCACCTCGGCGAAAGACAGACCTCGTGGACCGATGAGAACGTGGTCCTGCTCTTTACTGACACGCACCTGCAACAAAATGCAAAACTCACTGTAGCTAGGCAACAATGAAATAAATAATATAATCGCATGGGTAAATTCCAACATTTTCAAACATCCCTGTGTCAGTTTCTTCTTGTCAGGGTCAGAAAACCAGTTAAACGGCACTGCTGCCACGGGAGACCAGATCTCTGCACTTAGAAAGTTATAAGCGGGGTTAGCAGCTGCTCAGAGCACCAAATCAAGGGTACAGGAAACTCTACACCACAGAGGAAAGCTTTCTGTACTCCAAAAAAAATCGGTGTGTGGGTTGATAAAACTTACTTTTTCACAGCTTTGTCTTTGGGGAAAATCTGAGCTTTGTTCACCAAATATTTCATAGTGAACTCTTACTATTGGGAAGCTGTTCATATTCACAGACCTTACATTTCTCAACCATAAATAATATATGGCTTCTGAAAAAGAAGAGGTACACCCCCTTTTAGTCTTCCAGGAGCCTTAAAAAACACATGGAGCTCACATACAGAAACACAAACCTTACGCTGCATACACAAGCAGGTGTGCGCCGGAGCGTGATGGTAAAGGTGTACTCACAGTAATGTAGGAGCTTGTAAAACGAGCCCAGCTGAAGAGGTCAACAAGCCTGTAGAGGCTGGCCAGCCTGCAGCGACTCTGTTTCTCCCCTTTGGCAAAGGAGGGCGACTCCACGCCGTACAAGTCGTTGACTGGAGTCACCATCCCGAAGCCTGTCACAAGACATAACATCATCAGTAAACTGCAATGCACACAAGACATTTATGAGGATGTTTACATGGTTTGTTTCCACTGTGTATAGACTGAAACATCCCGTCTCCACAGCTGAAGATTAAAAAAAAAGGCCTTTCTCAGAATTCCCAACGTGAAACTGGGGTATTTTTGGACTGTGATGCCATATAAGGGCATTTAACGACACAGGACCTAATCTTTTACGGCCATTTTAGCTTTTAAAAGAGCAGGTCTGTCTCAAGAACTTCAAGGCCATTTCCTTCTGTGACAGTTTCCAAACATTTACAGTTGTGACTGTCAAACTTTCGATAATGGATCTTTTTTAGATATAGGGTTGTTGTGTAACCTTCCCAGAAACACAGGATGATTAGGTCAGGATAACATAATGGGCACTGCAATCTGCTCTAATTCATTCCTAAGACTGGTCATGAGAGCTACTTAATAGAAACACTGACAATGAAGGAGGCTGTCAACGATTTCTTGCCTTTTCTGCTTTTTCAGGCTGATTCAGTGTCACAAGAGTCTGAGAATTCACTCTCCGACAATGAAGATATTCAGCTTGCATAATGCACACAGACAGACGATACATGCGGAATGACAATCAGGCCCTAAGGGAGATAGATGGATACACTCACACACAGAAACACACACTGCCACTCACTGATGGGCGAAGTCAGGGGGCCAGCCCCTCCTACGGTGCTGGCCATGACCAGGTCAGCAATCTGTCGGAGCGCCAGAAGACCTGTAGGGGTGTTGCCCTTCGTCAGCTGGTCCTGAATCAGGCCCTCCAGCTCATCTTTAAACACCTGTAAACAAAAAAGACTTTCTCTCAGAGCGAGGAGAAGAGAAGCTCACACAGCCTGGCCTCGATCTCATTCCAACACCTCAGGACGTGTCAGGGAGCACAGCATGCTTCCAGATGCTCCTTATTACAACTGTACACAAATCACGAAGAGCTACTTAAAAAGCTCTTTGTACGCCTGTGAAAAGGGGGTTCATTCGAAGCAGAGGGGTGGGGGGGATGGCATTAAGCCTGACCATCAATTTTTGCATCAACAGTAGCCTGTGAATCTTGAAACAGCACTATTTTCCTGTGAGCTGCAGCTAAGCTCTGGCATTCTGCTTCATCCAAGCACGGTTCCCATGGTGATGAGATGAGTTCCACTTGTTGGGCCTGTTATGCAATCGCAGATGAGTGTGGGCTCGTCTTATTTCCATGCACTTCATTGGCGTGTCTTTATTGCATCTCGCTGTAACCACACTGTGCCGCTCTGTTTATCATCCGTTTGGTTTATATTATGCTTATATAATGTCTACTGTCGTACATATTGGTGTTTCTCTTATTTTGTCCCTCTGTTTTCTGCCAATAAGAGAATGTCATATCTGTCACCACATCGTATTTGTACATATCCACGTGTAACCTCACCATACCTTGTACACTGTCATTATGAGATCTTTACATCATTGTTGTACTTTTGTCATTCTTGTCCTGCTTCTTCTTTAATGCCTCATCTGCCTCCAGCTGCTGTAACATGTAAATTTCCCCGGTGAGGGATCGATAAAGTTTATCTTATCTTAAATAATAGCAGCATCTCTCTGTATAATGCAACAAAGTTCAACAGGACAACAGACTACTTCCCCACGTAAGTCTCTACAACACTTTTAACGACCTTATTAAGGAAGACATTATTGCAGGACGACTGTATCGGACCACAGATCGACCGTTATGTTTTTATCAGGGCTGACGCAGATACCGACTATCGGTAATTAAGGAAGACAAATGACCGATATGTGGAACTGATACACATTAAACGTTTTATATTAACAGCACGCAATAGCAGAAAACTAGTCATTCATAACTAGGCCAACTTTTTAATAAGATTATCATTGCTGAATATATACATTAAATGCTATATATTAACAGCATGTGATGGGAAATCTGGCATCCACAGCTATGTTACTTCATTAATAAGGATTCCTATAACTGAATATGTGCAACACAACTATCCTGTATTATATATTATATATATAATATATTATCTCCTGCAGTTAAATCTGCCGTTCTTCTCTTTTTTTGTTAATCTTTCATTGTTCTATCACTTTAATTGCCCGCTAAGGCCTGAATCTTGATGCATTATTAGCTTCAGGGTAATCTGTGGCTGCCTCCTAGCTTAGCTGCTAGCTATTAGCCTTTGTGGCAATGTCTTGTGCTTCTTGTTCAGTGTTTGCAGGCTGTTAAAGAGACATGTCTGTCAGTCAGAGCCGACTGTTGAAGTAAATATACTTTAGAAAGATGTACTCCAGATAATGTTAGCTCGAGGCTAAGAGGCACAGCAAACCTCTTAGTGGTAGCGTTAGCCAAACGCCGTCAGTGAACTAAGTTGCAGCCACACTGACAAGTGAGTTATTTGGGAATCGTCAGCGTAACACTGGAACTGGCAATGCTTCGGTAAGATTATGGTGTTTACTGCAACTTCAGCAGTATCATCTACCTCATCTTCGAAAAACACAGCTCTGCTTATTCACCAGGTTCTGCAAATTCACCCGTCTGTCTCTGTCTGTAAACACTAGCTTTCAATATTAATTGGCTCAACACTTATGGCGCGTGACCAAGCAGAAAGTGACTACTGACAGGGAAAGATGGCTGCAGCAGAGCCAAAGTAGCACATTTAATGTCATTTTTTGACAGTCATTTACTAGAAATAATGTTACCGATGATTGGAAAACTGTAGCACATCTGTCCGATAATCGATCAGGCCCAAATCCTTATATCTATCTGCCCATATAGGCTTTAGTTAAGGGCACCTCATATACTTGCAAATGAGAGTATAGGTTACAGAATGAAAAGAAGTGCAACAATTAAGACTATTAAGAAACTGGTGTTTACTGCAAGTACCCAGAGCACATGATGATGTCTTTAAAATACCAATTTTGTCCAAATGTCTGTAGATATTCAGTCTAATAATGTTCAAAACAAAGAAAACCCGCAGATATTTACAAGTGAAATAAGCACCATGGCTGAGTGTTTCCACCTTAAAACTGCCGCGTACTGATAACAGTCTGAGAAACATAGAGTCAGACTTTCAGGGATTCAAATAACCAACCAGTATTTCTGACTGATTATTCCAACACTACAATGTGCGATTGTGTGAAGTAGTTTTACAGTGTTTGAGCAAATTCATGGGTGAGCTGGTGTGCTCAGGCTGCAGCGAGTGGAGAAAGAGGGAGAGAATTTGTAGATCAATGATGTAGAGTTACATATAAGTCATTTTAAAAGAGGACGGGACTATTTTCATTGGAAAAACCTCTAAATATGTAACTCTGATGCACGTAGATGATTTGAGGGGTTTAATCAGTAAACAAGGAGGGACTTTAAACCAAATGTTTGTCGTTTTCAGCCGCAGCTACATCACAGATTTTTTGCATTGCGAGTGTTAGAGAAATCGCTTACAATATGAAGGCTAGTCTAGCTTTAAAAATGACTATTGCACTACGTCTGTAATGTAACGCACAGACACGACCGCAGTAGATTTCACTGTAGCCGCAGCTTCGCAATGTTTATAAGCTCGGATAGAAACAACTGTGACAATAATTTGCAGAGGAAAATCATATCTAAACCTACATCTCAGTCCCACGCAGTGTATGAAATAACCTTCACATGAGCGAGAGATAAACATTTTCAGTCAGTCTTGAGTGAAGGCGTCTCTGCTTTCAAAGCGCTGTTTATTACTCATACGCGGTGAAAGCTTGTGTGTAGGAGGGCACTTATGTAGAGCTGCAGGCTACATACTGGACTCTGCAGGATCTGGGTGACCCTCTTCTTCTGCTCCATCATGTTGAAATCCTGCCTCAGGTCCGGCGACATGTTCCTGCTACGGAGGTACTCGGGGTCACTCTCGTCCACCCGGTCGAAGTAACGCTCCTTGGAGTCGTTGCTGGACAGCGACAGGGTCAGGGACCCCACCGTCTGCCTCACGTCCACCAAACTCATGTCCTCTGCAAGAGACGAGAAAATACCTCAGCTTCTCTTCGCTTTGCAGGCTGTCAAGGCAACGGTTGTTGTCACTGCAGAAAAGATACTGTACGGGTGCAATGGTGACTCACGTAATTACAGACATGGAGACAAAAGAGAGGCGAGCATTGTTATATGATTGATGCTGCTTTGCAAGTACAAAGCTGTTCATGTGCAAAAAAAAAAGATGAGGACTTAGTCACAGCTGCTGTGAACATAATGCAGGAATTTTTTATTCTGCAATAAGTACAGTTTAATAACAGAACAATGACTGGGAACATCTCAGCTCTCCGTAAACACTCACAGAGCTCTTTTCTAGCAAATATTACTTCTGAGTGGGTTTTAGCACCAAAGTTCAGTGTCTCATTTTTTTTTCTCTCAACACAGATGGAGGGCATCTCATAAAGAGTGAGATGAAAGCAGCAACAGTTTTCTTCTGCAGAGCCAAAAAAAAAGCCACAAAGCCTGGTCAACAGTAAACAAAGGTAGGCCTCATGTGGAAAGAAGTTAGCACCTCTAGTGCTGCTGTTACCTGGATGTGGGGGTGGAGGGAGATACAGGAGGCACAAGAGAGAAGCACTATTAGGCCTGGAAATGAAATAGCTTCGCCACACTACTAAAACCAACAATCACACTTTGATTCCTCCTTTCTGCGTAGCCTCTCGATGAATCAAATTACAACTTGTGCTGCGTAAAGGAACGCGTAAAGAAGATGCATTAGCCGAAGCTACACATACACGTTTTGCGTAAAACCGAAAAAAAAAGCTCACGCGTAAAACTGTAAGTTGAAAATTTTTACCTGAAACAAAAGTAGTGCCTCCGGGACGGCGTGATGTCGAAATCCTCCAACAGAGGCTCCCAGAAACGTGGATATAAAAAAAAAACCACACGGATGTTACTCCCGATACATTGTGGTGGAGGGAAAAGCGGGGAGAAAAGAGAAAAGCTTGCAAGGGCGCAAAGTTGTGCAGCAGCTACAGTATCCAGACGGAGCAGACTGCCCGCTGCGGGTGAGCAGAGAGTTGAGGAGTGAAGAGTGGCTGCATGGAGGAGGCTGTGGGTGTGTTTGTGTGGGAAAAAGGAAAAGTGACCATGTGACTTCACTTATCCACCCACCAGGCCTTATGTGTTCAGCGGGACAAAAGAAATGGCCACTCAGGAGTGATTCCTCACAACCGCACCGTAGCTCTTCCTGCGTGGGTTTTTTTTTCAGCCACCTTATTTCTGTGGGAGTTTTTTTCTTTTTCTTTTATGGTATCCTTCATATCCCCAGAAGGAACTTGTTACAGAGTTTTCGGGTGAAGAATTCGAGGTAAAGTTTTTTTTTTGTATTAATCTTCTCTCTGTGCGTCTGTAGGTGTGATTCATTAACTCCTGCCACTTCATTTCATAAATAACTCCTCGGTGTTCCCACAGCAGCAGCAGCTCAGTGGAGGTTTTCATCAAAGCTATATGGCCCAGCCATACCCAAACAGAACACATCAAAGCCAGAACAAGTGTCTTCCTCAAAAAGTTTCCCACATTATGGGATGTTTTCTCACGGAAAGCAATGAACCACAGATCCTGCCTCAAAAAATGGAGCTATTTCTTATTATTGTGTTTGCATCACATTTAGTCCCACATCCACCAGCACAATGATTACTCTAATGTGCCAAACTTATACAAAACTAAATATGACATGCTTTGGATTATGATGTTTCTCCACTCATCCAGGAAGCCTCTTGAGTTCCTGTTGATGATGGATTTGAGGAAAACTGAAGAAGCCTCTTTGATGACCAGCTTCAGGAACTAAACGGAGACATCTGAAGCTCCTAGGATTTCCAAGAAAGCAAAGCGAGCACATTCAGTGATGGTCATTTTCACAGATGCTCCCTCAAAAAAGAAACTAATTATTATATTTGCTTCACATTTAACCTCACATCCACAAGCACAATGATTACTTTCATGTGCCACACATATGCAATACTAAAAAAGACGTATTGTTTGCTTTTAAAGCTAAAATGAGCATCACTGAATGCACTCACTTTGCTTTCTTGGAAATACTAAGAGCTTCAGACATCTCCGTTTAGTTCCAGAAGATGTTTCACTGCTCATCCAAGAATCTTCTTCAGCTTTCCTCCAATACATCATCACCAGAAACTGAAAAGGCCTCTAGGATGAGCAGTGAAACAGCTTCAGGAACCAAAACGAGACGTCTGAAGCTCTTAGGATTTACAAGAAAGGAAAGCGAGCACATTCAGTGATGGTCATTTTCACAGATGCTTCTTATTGTTGTGTTTGCATCACATTTAGTTCCACATCCACCAGCACAATGATTATGTTCATTTACCAAACATATTCAATACTAAATAAGAAGTACTGTTTGCTTTTAAAGCTAAAATGACCATCACTGAATTAGCTCGCTTTGCTTTCTTGGAAATCCTAAGCACTTCGGCCTTCTCTTTTTAGTTGCAGAAGATGGTTCACTGCTCACCCAAGAATCTTCTTCAGGCGGTGGGGTTAAATGTGATGGGAATCCAGTCCTGTAACCTTCCACTGAAGCTCCCTTGTGACTACNGTGGAGGTTTTCATCAAAGCTATATGGCCCAGCCATACCAAAACAGAACACATCAAAGCCAGAACAAGTGTCTTCCTCAAAAAGTTTCCCACATTGTGGGATGTTTTCTCACGGAAAGCAGTGAACCACAGATCCTGCCTCAAAAAAGGAACTATTTCTAATTATTGTGTTTGCATCGCATTTAGTCCCTCATCCACAAGCACAACTTTAATGTGCCAAACATATACAAAACTAAATAAAACATATTCTGGATTATGATGTTTCTCCACTCATCCAGGAAGCCTCTTGAGTTCCTGTTGATGATGGATTCGAGGAAAACTGAAGAAGCCTCTTGGATGAGCAGTTGAACAGCTTCAGGAACTAAACGGAGACGTCTGAAGCTCTTAGGATTTCCAAGAAAGCACATTCGGTGATGGTCATTTTCACAGATGCTGCCTCAAAAAGGCACTAATTATTATATTTAACCCCACATCCACAAGCACAATGACTACTTTCATGTGCCACACATATGCAATACTAAATAAGACGTATTGTTTGCTTTTGAAGCTAAAATGACCTTCACTGAATGAGCTCGCTTTGCTTTCTTGGAAATACTAAGAGCTTCAGACTTTTCTTTTTAGTTCCAGAAGATGGTTCACCGCTCATCCAAGAATCTTCTTCAGCTTTCCTCCGCTACATCATCACCAGAAACTGAAAAGGCCTCCAGGATGACCAGTGAAACAGCTTCAGGAACCAAAACGAGATGTCTGAAGCTCTTAGGATTTCCAAGAAAGTAAAGTGAGCACATTCAGTGATGGTCATTTTCACAGATGCTTCTTATTGTTGTGTTTGCATCACATTTAGTCCCATATCCACCAGCACAATGATTATTTCAATGTGCCAAACAAATTCAATACTAAATAAAAAATACTCTGGATTATGATGTTTCTCCACTCATCCAGGAAGCCTCTTGAGTTCCTGTTGATGATGGATTCGGGGAAAACTGAAGAAGCCTCTAGTATGAGCAGTGAAACAGCTTCAGGAACTAAACGTCTGAAGCTCTTAGGATTTCCAAGAAAGCAAAGCGAGCACATTCAGTGACGGTCATTTTCACAGATGCTGCCTCAAAAAAGAAACTAATTATTATATTTGCATCACATTTAACCCCACATCCACAAGCACAATGATTATGTTTGTTTGCCAAACACATGCAATACTAAATAAGATGTATTGTTTGCTTTTAAAGCTAAAATGACCATCACTGAATGAGCTCGCTTTGCTTTCTTGGAAATACTAAGAGCTTCGGACTTCTCTTTTTTAGTTGCAGAAGATGTTTCACCGCTCACCCAAGAATCTTCTTCAGCTTTCCTCCAATACATCATCGCCAGAAACTGAAAAGGCCTCTAGGATGACCAGTGAAACAGCTTCAAGAACCAAAAAGAGACATCTGAAGCTCTTAGGATTTCCAAGAAAGCAAAGCAAGCACATTCAGTGAGGGTCATTTTCACAGATGCTGCCTCAAAAAAGAAACTAATTATTGTGTTTGCATCACATTTAACCCCACATCCACAAGCACAATGATTATGTTCATCTACCAAACATATGCAACACTAAAAAAGACGTATTGTTTGCTTTTAAAGCTAAAATGACCATCACTGAATGAGCTCGCTTTGCTTTCTTGGAAATACTAAGAGCTTCGGACTTCTCTTTTTAGTTGCAGAAGATGTTTCACTGCTCACCCAAGAATCTTCTTCAGGCGGTGAGGTTAAATGTGATGGGAATCCAGTCCTGTAACCTTCCACTGAAGCTCCCTTGTGACTACCATGGCCTAAATGACCGAGAATCTGCACCGATTCCGTCCTCATCTAATGAAAAAATGATGATAATACCAGCGTTTAATAGAGCGTCATGCTACGTTGTTTCAAAACCAATTGCATGCTGCTTTTCTTCCAGCAAATTAAATTGCCCCTCTTGCCCTAAACAGGAAATAAGATTAAAGCGATTGTGAAAGCTGTGCAGATTTATCTTGGGGGGGAGAAAAAAAGCAAGGATCCGTCCTCTTCCTGACACCTCTCCACTCTTTTCTGCCTTTTCAGAGGGTATTGTAGCAACATTCAGATGCACTCCGTATTAAATGAATGCAACCCTGCAGTCTCTAATTTTCCCAGCACATTGCTCCTGCCAGCCCACAGAGTTATTGCCCTTTTAATCGCACACAGTCAGACGCACAAATATCTAGATTTGGGGAGTAAGAGAGAGAGAGAAGGATTGGATCACTGACTGACATAACAATTCCAGGAAACGGAGCGGAGTCTGGGAGGCGGAGCAGATATGTGGACATATGGGTTGATGTAATGAAAAGCAGAACTTTCTCACTCCGGAGCGGTGTGACCCCTCAAACCCTGAAACCCTGCCTCCCTGTTTCTGGCAGAGTTCCCGCTGAAACCACATGCAAGCTTAAATGCCTGCACACAACACCCACCCACCTTCCAGCCCCCGCATTCTTGCTGACTGTTTGAACTTTTCAGCGAGGGCAGTCCGTCTTGAAAGCATTGACCAAATGTCAGGTGATATTAGTGGATGTCTCATTCGTGCAGATTACCGCTGAGGATATTGATGTCCACAAATAAAAGCGCAACTTTGTCTTGTCACAAACCGGCATCTTTGGTGGAAATAGCCTCCGAATGCAGTCGTGCCAAAGCTCCCTGGATAAATCCAGTGAGTAAATAAAGCATGTACAGTACAATAAACCTTTGGGAGTGCTGGCAAATGCTCAATCATTGAATTTAAGAGATACAGGCATACAAATCTAACATTAGTGCTGAAATGTTGTTCCTGGAAATAATTACAATTATTAGATTTGTTAGAATCAGACCTACGTGGACATATCATGTCTTCTGAAATCCCCCCCTGTGATCAGTTTAATGTCCTACAATGCTGTTTTCTACAGTCCAAAGAATCAAGCGAGATTCAATTTTAAAGAATAAAAGCTGGTTTATAACCGCCAACTCCGTGGTGGAAACTCAGCAAGAAAACCGAATTTCATTGTGAAGAGTAAACTCAAGAAAACTGCAGAGTATAACAAGAAAAAGGAACAGGTGACTTTCCTTTCTAAAGGTTCGGAGAGGAGTAGGCGTAAGCTGTCAGGGCGTCGTGCTCGAGGAGGAATCATTGCAGAGTAAATACAAAGTAAAACCAGTGAGGTATCAGCACAAAGAATGACGATCAGTTTTCATGTTGTGGTTGAACTTTGGCTAAGATGAAGAAAGAAAGTCTGACACTGCGCTGAAACGGGTGCTTTACATGGAGTCACCTTTTGACCTGTGGATCCTCTGTAACAGGAGTTTGGTTTTGTCTGTGCCGGTGATGGCTTTGAGGA